CCACTCCCTCCCCACTCTGATTCTTTTCCTCCCACCAGTGAGCTGGGATGTGGGGGTAGTGCTTGAGGTTCCACCGGGTCATGGCTTTGTATCTTACCCCTTTCTGTGAGATGTTGCGTTCTCGCAGATATAGCCTGGATGGTGTATTGTATCTTTTGGTCACTCTTTTAGGAATAGTTGTATTTGCTGTATTTTCAAAATATATATGGTTTTGGGAGGAGATTACCACCACCCTACTCATGCTGCCATCTTTTTCTCCTCTATTGCCATTTTATTCTGCCCCAATCCTGCCTCTAGGCCTACTAGGATTATATAAAACTGATAATAAATAATTTGTACATTAAAAAAATAATAAATTCTATGTTTTAAAAAAAAGAATCAAGGAAGACATTCTTTCATTAAAAATCCCTGATTAAGTTACTATACTAGCTGTAAGCATAACCATTACATATTAATTCTATATATACTGTATAAATTATTTTTCTTATTGATTTTTCAACTATCTTTTTCTTTAATAATTGCCTTCTTTATTAATTATAAATTAATATTGTGGTTACTAATACTCGGTATTACCATAAAGTTGAAGCAATGAGCCAGAACACGATAAATACTGTATTTTTTTCAATGGTTTAAGCTTGGCATTAATGATATCATGATGGAATGTGATTACTTGCCAGTTTTAAGTGATGGCTTTGAGCCAGGCCCAATGTCCTAAAGGATGGCAAACAATATATATAAATTATCTGGCCTAAATAAAACCTATCAAATGATTCTACATTCTGTAAGCCATAAACTAGCCATTCATTCATCCATCCATCCAAACTTACTAATTAAAAAAATTTACTTTAGGATTAGCTAGGTGTTAGGAAATATGTTAAAGAGATCCACAATGAACTAAACATGACCCTGGCTCTTATTAAATCAATACAAATTAGATTCCAAGTACAAAACAGGTTCAATAAAATTTTTAGTATACATTCAATCAGAAAACACCTACTTATTACAAGGATCAAAAAATTAAATGCTTAACTGGACCAGGCACATAAAAAATAAAAAGTCTTCTGAGAATTAAAGAAAAAAAATCACACATTCTTCCTAGACTCTTATTTCCCCCAGTTCTCATAAAAACATGCATAATAAATAGTATTCCTTTCCTATAAGAAATGCAAGAGTACAATAATGACTAACAACCCAAATTCAGCTGCAGTGTCAGGAGGAGAGAAGAGACAGTAGAGGTTGGAACTTGCCTGAGGGTCCACAGTGACACCAGGTACCAGAAAACTTGGGAGGTTTTCATCTCAGTTTGCTAGATATACCAGTGACTTTTTAAAAAGGAACCCTTGAATTTGAATTTTTAGGTAAAAGCTCCATATTTTAGTGTTGTCTTGGACTTAAAAACAAACACCCAAACTCTGTATTAAACTTGGCAGATCTGATTAAATCTGTGATTTCCAACCGACTTGCAACCTTTCTATACCATGCTGTTCAGAAGTTCTATAAGCTGATTTACCCAACTTTATAAAAAGATGCTTTTGAAAAATTTACCAAACTGTAAGTGGGAGGGGCTTTGAAAGAGCTACATGTGAAGAAAGATTAGTGATTTTACAGGCGAATGTTTCTTGCAATAAACCATCTTTGTTAGTTTGCTTTAATATTATTAAGCACATTACAGATAGCAAAATATAGAATTCCATAGGTTGCATAAAGGATAGTGTTAGAGTAAACATGGTTTGTACTCATGGTTAATAAGAGCAGAGTTTGCCTGAGAAGAGCAGATAGTGCCTACTATTCTTTCCAAAAAAGAACCTTTCTTTTCCCTGGATGCTTAAATTATTTTACAAATACCATGCACAGCTGCATTAGTTGTGCACTGCACAACTTCAAAAGATGTAGTTCACATAGAGTATGATATAAATGGTTCTCCTAGAATCATGCAGTTTATAATTTTTTGTGTAATTTATGGTGTCTGGTGTTCTTGGTCTTCTCTAACACAGAAAATCCAAAAGGCAGATGGTATAGGTCTTGGCTGTTGTTTTCCAATTTATAGGTACAGTCCAAAGAAATTCAGCAACTTGCCTGATGTCACACATAATTACTGATAGAGTTAGGCAAACATGCAGATTAACTGAATCTTTATCAAGAGTCCTTAAAAAAGTATGAAAAATAAAGATAGGTTGCTTTTTCACTTCATGGTTTGAAAAGCACTTCCATGGGTATTTTCTTTCTTTCTTTTTTTTTTTTTTTTGTAGGAGAGCAAGGAGAAAGCGAGAGGACAGAGCTCCTGGCTCAAGCCGAGAGGGGACAAGAGAGTCCCAAAGTTGAATGCTGTCTAGGGGTTTTATAGGCAGTTGAGAGACAAAGAGGTGTTTTCTCACTGCCAGTAAAATCTCAGTGCATGATAATGGGGACTGCCATCAGAATGATTCTTCGGCACCTTTGATTTTCCTCTTTATTAGTCCTCCAGAGATGCATTTATTTGAATTGTTTTACTACAGGTTATTTGTGAATTCAAGAATATCATTTCCATTATTTCCAATACAACTATTTAAACTTCTTAATACCCTAATAATATCACCTTCTCATGTGGCTTGATCACCTGATCCATTGTTTTCACGTTGAACACAAGGGTGTACTTATCTCCAAATGCTGGCATATAGATATGTGTATATAGTCTCTTTAGTTAAATCTCTGTTCCCATTTCATATTGTACTCTAAATACTTTTCATTTATGCTTTCTAATTGTCCTTATGATGTTGACATCTGCTCTTATCTACCTGCAATTTTTTAAATGTTCCCCCTTTTTTCCTTATAAACCTGAAATATCTAATATAGTAGTCACTAGGCACACATGCTTATTTAAATTTGTTAATTAAAATTTAAAAATTTAGTTCCTCTGTCACACCAGACACACTTCAAATGCTCAATACCCAGATGTGGTGATTATTGTATTACAGAGTACAGATATGGCACATTTTTATAATCACAGAAAGTATATTGAACTCTGGTATGTACTAATTAGCCATCTGTTTTTCTTCAACCCATGCTCCTTTCTTTCTTGACTATTTCTTAGGCTTCATGAAGGGAGTTTTATCAAAATATTATTTTTTTATATATTTAAATTACGATTATAGTGATGCTGCATCTTTTGATGTTATACAGAGACTTCAACTGTAGTCAAAAAACATCCCCCTACAAGCAGCATTGGCCAAATAAGAGTAACACTAACTCTTAACATATTTATTTATGTCTTTTTCCAACACTTTTTACATTTAAAAATTTTTTTATCCATTTGCCTAAAACTATAATTTGCCATTGGCAAATTTAATCATTAAAAAGAGAAATAAGAAAATCGTTGCCTCTGCCAATGATAGTCTAATCTTGAGTAACTATTTATCAGTAAATATATAAGATTAACTTATAAAATAAGAGGGCCATAACATCTGAACCTAATAAAAATGAATGAAAAAAGTAAGTACTGCCTTTAATGCTTAATTGCTCAGTGACAGGCAAGGCTGTAAACTTTCCATGAACTTTTCAGTACAGGACTAAGGATTAATCATTGCACACGAGTCTTAGTGAGGTTCAGGACACTAAATATACCTCATGTTCACTTAGTCATGAAAGAACCCTCTTGTAAAATACAACTTCCTGCAGACCATGATTTTGCAAAAGGTGCAGTTTTATTAAGTGGACTAACCTTTGTGACAAACAAACTATAATTTCACACACTGGAAAAATAAATTGTAAATTGACATTTCTCTCTTGTAAGAAATAAAGTTCTTGAAACCACACTCTATGTCAGATGTTATATTAAAAAAAAAAACTCAAGGCCTTTATCCTTTGGCACAATCTTCTAAAAAAAAAGAACTTAAAAAATAAAATAAGATAAAATGTAGAAAATACCATAAAGTGATTACCAGTCACAGCTCAGAGTATCAAACAAGGAAAACTAGTCAATATTATAAAATTACAGAGCATAGTACATGGTTTCAAGGATCGCCAGCCATACCCCAAGGGCTCTTATGCAATCCAGTTTTCCATGCTCTCATTCATCTGATGTGTGTACGAGAAGTCAAGGGAGAGCACCTGTAGGCCGGCGCAGAGGGGCTGGGAGAGCCTCTGGGGCGTGCGCTTGCCTGGAGTATGCCCTCATCCCACTGCGCAACTTCTGTGTAAATGTCCAGCTGTTTAATCATGCGTGTGCTTGGCAAAAGCAGAAGCTGTTCGGAACAGCCAGTACTTACTGTAGAGTAAAGAGAGGAAGTGCTGGAGACCAGTGACAACGAAGAGCCATGAACTAGGAAAGCAAAAGAGAGCAAGACGTAAGATAAATAAGTCATCTCAGGAACACCAGGCCTTTACCGAAAACTGAAGAATAGGCGGTCATGGAAATAAAACAAGAACAGCTAGACAGAAGATTCTGAGAACACTGCACTGTCATTTTTTGGAGATCAACATACTGAGAAATATAAGGGTCCCCTACCTGTCCCCTCAAGTAGCTCCTTCATCATGTTACACAGAGACAAACCCGAGTCCTTCAGGCATCCTTTGCACAATTGAGGGCCATAGTAAACTCCCCCATAATAAACAGTTAGAAAATCTTGGAAATGTAAAGTTGTCATAAACTTTTACACTTTAGAAAAGCTTTATGTATTTTAAATACTTAATTTTATTTTTATACAACAAAGATCCATTTTCAATGTTTTTTCTCCATATACTTCCATGGAAGTAAGCATTCCATCCAACTTATTATTTCAACATTGTCTGTGATGAGTTATTATGCTTTTTTTAAAAAAATGAGGGATTCTTGTTTTTTTTGTAATTTTATTAATAGAAAATACTTATTTCAAGGAGGTATTTCCCTGAAATTAAGAATGGAAATTGCATACTGTCTTTTACTGAAGTATATCAAAAAGCATCTTAAACCATTAGCAGGCTGCTTTACGTTTCTGCACATCCAATGTACTGAACCCAAAAGGTGGATTAAATTGTGCTTAATTATACTTATAGTAAAGTTCTTCCACTTTTATTGTGAGGTAATATGAAGTCATGTCTGCTTATTTACTCATTAAACAGATACTGGTTGAGCACACATGATGTAACAGTCACTTGCTAGAACCTGGGACTACAAAAATGAATGACACAATCTGAGGGGCTCAAAAAGAGGAGAAAGATACACAACTAAAGAGATAATTACAGTAGAGTAATAGTAATACTCTTGAGTGCAGTGTGTTAGGTACTACGAGGACACACAACCTAGTTTGGAGAAGACTGGGGAAGCTATAGAGTTGTGGTGGGGTGGCTGAAAAGAAAGGGATGAATTTGACAGCCACCAGGAGAAATTCTTTAAAACTGGCTGAGTATAAAGATTCCTCAAGAGAGGAAACAACAACTCCCATATTTCTAGCTTGAGCAAATACTACTACTCTGTGAAATGTGCAAAACGGTTAGTTATTTTTTTAAAAATTCCAAAACTGAAGAACATTCTTTCAGCCTCTAATAACACTGGCATGAACACAGGGTCAGCAGTGTACCAAAGGACGGTGGGCAATGAATCAGGAGATCCCATTTCCAGTCTTTACCCACTTCTTACTACTTATAGGCCTACGTCCTTGCAGTCTGTGGTTCAGTCTCTTCATCTTTCAGTGTGAGCATTGGGCAGGGCATCAGTAAAGTCCCTTCCATCTCTCTAGTGCAGGGAGTCCTTTGTGTCAACCACAATTTAATTATAATAGCTTATATTCAGTGCATGGGCATCGAAAAGTCATCTTGCCCACTCATGCTGGTGATCAGCAATTCACACTATTTAATCCTCATATGGAGAAGATCAGAGTTTTCCAGCATATGGGCAACATTCTATCTGTAAATGAGGCAGTCTCGATTGCCATCCATATGCTTAGCAATCATGATCTTTACAGTGTTATAAGATGCTTTTCTGTGAAGAAAGTGATAAAATCATTACAGAGACACAACTATCTTTACATTTCAGAGTAGTTCTATTTTGCCTGTCTGCATTGCAGCAGTCCGGCAGCTGACTCAGAGTGAAAGTCACTATCTGTCACACTCAACTCAGTGGTTTGGTTAATATTCCAAAAGATAATGCAACTGTGGGTGACTAAGTGTCAGCATGTTTAAATGTACAGCAGTGGCCTGAAAACGATGAGTCAGTTTTCATAACTGCCTAAATTTTTAGCTAGAAAAGCATCTAAACAAGAAAGTAGGAAGGGGAAAGAGAAAGGGATAGAATTATTTCATCCTCATGACAAACCTGTGGAATTACAGATTCAGAAATTAGGACTCATAAAGTTCGAAACTTGCCCAAGCTCATACCACAAATAAATGAATGACCAGAGGCTTAAACCCTGGTATATTTCAAAATCTGGAGTCCTTTCTTTTAAATGTAATTATTAAGGACTGGATAGTATGGCTGATTCCATTTCTGATCTCATTCTAATCAGCTTAAACTTTTATGTTTACTTTTATTTTATCCTTACCTGATAGGTATTATATGTGTACTATAATTTTCTTTTATGGATACTTAAAAAAATCACTCATTAAATTAAAGAGGAAAATCTCTCAAATATTACATCAAATTTGACATTTGAGGTGATACAGTTTAGAAAATTATATAATTTGAACATCAATTAAGTTTCCTGAGTTTTTCAAACATTATTATGAAGTGTTCACATGAAACTTCATTGCACTGGATAAGGAATATATCTTTTAAGCAAAAACTAGACATAATATGAATTTTAAAATGATGTCGAAAAAGCTAACACCAAAGGGAGTTTCTGAGAATAAAAGTCAGAAGCATGTGGTAGTTTTATAAGATAATTTTTCTAGTTTATGTATCTTTATGGTCCTTTAACTGAAATGTCCCACAAAACATCTGCTCTGGTATTTGACATGCCCTGGCAAAGAATCTCTAAATTTATGAGACTTTCTACATGAAAACACTGGACTACTTTGAATTGTTCTAGATAGCCAAGTATTAATCTAAACAATTTCTGGCATATTTCCAAATGCATAAAGAAGGTAATGCAGACTAAAACCTCTTCAAGCTTCAGGGCTCCCTGAGAGTTATACTTATTCATTTGCTCTTCAGGAATCCTTGTTATGTGATATGATAGTTGTCATCTCTGAATTTAAAAAAGCAGCGTCATTCTTACTTCCCTGTCTGCCCACCTTCCTCCATGCTGTCCCGGAATGAGCCCGAATGGCTGACGGCGCGAGGCCTCTCCTCGGGGGACGTGGCACTCCCGCACAGCTGGGCGTCGTCGTAGAGGTCGAAGGGGGAGTCTCGGGCTGGGATGCTGTTGGACCGCATCATGCTGGGCCCGGGCAGGTTAAATTGAGACAGATTGGTTGGGCTCACTGGAAACAAAACACACACAGTCTATTATTCTGGGGCTTGGATGATGAAAATTGTAGATTGATGGAAAGTGCAAATGTGATCCCAATTTTTATGGAAACGTTGAGTTTAAAAGGTGCCCCTATTTAAGGTAGGCCAAGAGTCTGCCTCTGAAACGTTCAGTAATAGTTACCATGGAGTCCCTATTTTCTTCTGACACTTTCATGGCAAGTAGTCACTCAATTTCTAAAACCACATTAAACAAAACCACCCAGACACCACTACTGTTCATGCTAGAGATAGAATAGCATGGTTTTTTCTGCTGGCTGTTAGGAAGAAAAGATTGTCTTCATCAAGTCTGCAGATTTCTTTTTAGAGAAGAAAATGTCACTGCAGTGGAAAAAGCAAAATCAAAAAGAAAGCATAAGAAATCTAAATTTCCGAAGGAGAGCCTTTGGAAATTTCTAGGTGAAGGTTTTCAGACATTTTTGGGTTCAGAATTTATCTAAGTTTGTGATTAGTACTATCATTAATATCAGAGTTAGGTTATAATAGAGAAAAGTAAAATTTTTCTTTAAATAAAATGTACATGGTATCTGTAGCTCATAAGGCTAATCACATAAACTATTTTCTACCATGTCTAAGGCCCGACGGCCACAGTGAGGCTGTCAGAAATCGCATCCTACTGTATTTCCAAAGCAGTACCTTAAGTTAGCAATTTGAAACAAAAATTTATTTAACTAGCGCCTATTGCCAAATAGTTCTAATAACACTCAATATTTTAGGCCAACTGATAATCATGAATTGAAAGAAAAATGTCGTTGACTGAATGTATAATTGCAAAACAATACTGTTTTAAAATTTGGGATAAAAGCAAAGTAGAAAAGTCAAGAAATACATTTATCACAGATACTCATATTTAAGAAAAGGACATTGTTATAGGTATAATGAGGAAGTAGGCAGAAATCTTTTAAAATATGAAAGGAATGGCTAAGTACATTCAAATCTTTTGGGAATTTATGTTATTGGCTTAGAATTAGTTTGATAGCATTTCAAAATTTGCTTTTTTTTTCCTTTGACATAGGCACTACATTTCTTCTTACTACAATTACTAGCTCCGGTAACAGTGTAAAAGTAGGAAGAGTATATACTATAAAGGGAGGGGAATATTTCATATTTTACAGGTATTAATGAATTAATGTACAGAACAACCCTCTGACAGAGCTAATTAAGAATTGGAGTAAAAGAAGAACAAGGAGAAAGAAACACAAGACTAAGAATATCCATGTGTGTAAACATGCAATATAATTTAAAAAGAAAGAAGCTATGGATTCACAAAGTGCACAGTCCATAGACAGGCAGGAAGATGGAAAGAAGGAAAGGAGGAAAAAAAGAAGGGAGAGTGAGACAGCCAGGAAGAGAGAGGTATTTCAGGCACAGTCCTGCAAACTGACCAGTTCGATCTGACTGCTGATTGACAGCCAACAGATACACTGAAGGACATTCTGGACTTGAATGTTTCTGCTTGAGATACCAGGATTGGAGTAAATCATTGTATTCTAGGTCCACAGTATGAGTCAACTCTGCTAAATGAGTGAAGTATTCAACACATTTGCAACTGTATTATTTTAATATATGCATATAGGGATTAGAAAGAAATTTCATTTGCTGTTTGGCTTTGCATAATTCTAACCAAAATGGATGCAGAGATATCTAAGCAGAGTGTCCTATAATTTCAAAACATAACACTTAGCTCATCCAAGGTGAAATAGCAATGAGGATTATGGTGGACTTAAAGGGAAGAGTTTGCACTTACAAACACTTTTGATAGCTTATCCATTGGAAATATACCCATACTATTTAAGGATGTTCAATTAAGATAATATCTAGGGCGGGTATGTTTTTGACATTGTGGTTGAATAGAAAGATAAATATGGCATGGTTCCTAACTTGAAGGGTGGCCATTAGGGAGGTGACTAAAAGATAGAAAAATCAGTATGTAAAATAAACCAAGAAAAGTTGTATTACATAAGACAAAAGTATTACAAAGGGAAATTTTGTAATGGGACACAAATTAGTACAGTGCATCTCTAGTGGTGAGTTTGCTTTCCATTAGCTTCAAATATCCCAATCTCAAACCTTTAGTTTCTTCATAAAGTAAAAAAAAATGGGAGAATAAATGGCCTCTAAGATGTTTTCAAAGCCAGCAGACACTTCAAAATTTCTAAATACAGATAAAGACGTAACAATATATTAGGGAAAAGAGGGCTACTGGCTTTGTCTTGAATTATATTTTATAGCATTTAAATTATATGTTTATTTGTGGTGATTTGAGGAGAACAGGAAGTAAAAGAAATATGGACTGGGCTTTAGGATACCTCCAAGTCACTCCCTGACTTTCCTACTATATCTAGACATACTAGCTAGTGAATTTATGATAGTGTCTTAAGAGTTGTCATATGGAATCTAATTTTAACTTATTTTATGGAATCTGGGAATACAAGTAGGAATTAAATGGAGATTCAGGAAAATTTTATTAGACCTTTTAAAGGAATAACTTCAAAAGTGTGATATATCTAGATATAGATTGTTTGTCCTTGCGTGTTTAGAGAGGAGGTTAGAGATGTCCTGAGAATTATACAATAGATGAATCATTGAACCAGATGTAGGTCTCTTCCAACTCTGAGATTCTATGCTTCCGTGAGTGTAGAAGAATGGGATTAATTCTCAATAGCTTAAAGGGTGACTAGGAAGAGGGGAGTAGAAGGTATTCAGAGTGGAGGAACCCTTGGGAGCAAAGCATAGAAACTTCCTATACAAAGGTGTTTATATATCACCTGTATGAAAAGGCCCATACAGAGCTGTGAGTGACAGGTTGATAGCAATGCTTCTACATGCTAACCCTGGCAGCAGATGAATAAAAGAATCTGAGCAATTGTTGTCACTTGTGGGCACAACAATGAGTCTCACCAGGTTATGCGAAGCCTCACAAGGGCTGTGATCAGTATAAACAAAGTTTTGTCAAAAGATTTATTTTGTTTACATAAGTCATATTCTGATATGTTTTCTTGAGTGGTAACGGTTTCTATTATACCTATCATGAGAGTAACTACATGTAAACCATAGTTTACTTTGGTGGTAGTTCAAAGTAGTCTACTGAAATGGCATAACCGTAGTGATCTTAAATTGATGTTTGTTATATGCGATGTTTTACAGTAATGTTTCTAAAAAGTTTATGTATTAACATTTTAGTAAGTAGAAAGGATAAAGAAAACATGGACATTGTAACTGCTAAATATTAGTAATAATCACTTATCTTACTGATCATTCAGAAAAGATAATTATCACATGGAAAACAAGTGGCGACCAAAGGTAAAGCATAGGACAATTCTATCCACATTCAAGTGACATAGCTTCATTTGATATATTTTTTTAAATTTAAAAATATATCTTTTATTTATGATTGCATTTTAATAGTACCCCACTTCTTACTTAATAAATAAATGTTTAGGTGATCTGTAAAATACAGTCAAAGCTTTTTAAAAATAATTTTCATGGTTTTAAAATAAGTCATTTTTTTTCTTCTGTAAAATAACAGCATAGAGATTTCAGAATGCCTGGTTTGAAGCCACCTATGTGTATAAAATCTGGGTAGGCACATGAAAGTGGGCTGACATGTAGAGGAAGGTCATAAGTCACAATGGATGAAACTGTTAGAAGATCTGAGAGTAGAGGCCCTAAGATCTATTTGAAGTCTACTGCAGTTGTCTCTCAGAGTGTAAGGTATGCATTCCGACAAAAATAATGATGTAGCAGAAGCTACCAAGCCTTTTTACTCTCATGAGTCTTTGTATCTATTAGATCAATCTTTCCTCACAATATGACCTAGGTATTATTTATCCATTCAACAGATGAGAAAGTTGAGGTTAAATTGCTAATGTCAGATGTAGTAAGGTAGTGCAGGATTTCCCCCCCAAAGAATAATGGGATAGATAGATTTAATCAGAATAACAATGATGGGGGAAAAAAATGAAGGAGGTAAATTAATGTCAATTAATGAAAAGATAGGAGACATGAGATGCCTCACAAACCCAACATTCCAGGTGATCTAGGTTTGTTTCAGATATTCCACAAAATTAGAATTTGTTTCATATTCCTATGACTCTGTAACAACATTTTCAATTCATTTATTGAAGTTAAAGTTTTAAGCTTCTTGCCATGTTTTATAACTTAAGCTGGAAATAAGGGAATGCTAGACCATTTTGCTATCATAAGGCAAACAAATCTCATCACTGTGTAGGTTTAACAACCAACCTGATGTTTGATATGAATTTATTAGTTTATATAGAACCATGGCAAAAATAATTGCTTTTCATTTCCAAAAGCTTTATTCTGTATAGCAGGAAGTTACAATAGAGGAGAAATAGCCTTAAGTGTTCAAATAGAGATGAAAGTTGAAAAGTTCAAATTACTGAAGAATTCAGATAGTTTGTTGTTCCATTACTAGGTAAAAATTTGTTCAAGGAAAAGAGAAAAAATAATGAGATGACTTTATATATGACTTTAAAGAGATCAGTTTTCAAAAGCATTGGGCCTATTAAATGATAAACTGGAATGTTTAGACTTCATTATTTTGCCACTCTTCCCTGTTTTCTATGAATTTATACAAATGATTTTATATTTCATACAAATGATGATAAGCACAAAGTAGCTCAATGGCTAAATTAGTTAGTTGGTTTTCTCATTGCACGTACCCAAAAATGTTCACAAGGTACTATTTTAACAGGAGTTCTCACATGCATTTTTAAGGGGAGTTTTAATTTTAAAATGGTTAAGGAAGTGATCATGGATTCATGGGATCACAGTTGTTCTTCTTCCATTATTTCCATTTTCTATTTTTCTACAAAAAGATGATTAATTTTGTTATAAGGATGTTAAAAATATCTTAAACAAGAAATAAGATGTTTTACTGGTTTTTAAGAGGACTGAGAAAACCCACAGGCTTCAAGTCAGGTGTTCTGGGATCAATTACTGCCTTTGCCTCTTACAAGTGGGGAGACTTTTTCAAGTTAAATGACCTCTCTGTGCCTCCAGATCCTAGTCTAAAAAATAACAACAGTATTACTTCTGTTAAGTTGGTGTCCTGAGCAATAAACTCATAATGTTTGAAAACTGTTATGTGAGCAGTATGCAATCATACTAATAAAAGTCAGTGTCAAAGTGTCTTATCTCCTTCATAAATCAACAATTTTTGTGGAGAGACACCAGGGCTCCCGGAAGGATAGGTGGTAAAAGGAACAAGATGAAACTGATGTCTTGGCATATTTTACCCAAGTTGGAAAAGTGGTATTTTCCTGTTGCAGAAGATGACATGGCAGAAGGGGAGACCAGAGGCGACCGGCTGCCAGTATCCTGCAGCCCTCCCGTAGAATGGGAACGCAGCCACTCTTTGCCCTCTTCTTGGCTGGCCTGCCGAGACGATGGGGTGTATCTGCAAGACAGCACAACTGAGACCCTTAAGCACATCCACAAGGGCAAGGCAATACCAGGACAAGGGAACAACTGGAGGAGCTTGCTATTCAGACTAAACAACATTCTCACACAGATCGAATCTAATTATAATTGCTTAATGCTTCCAGATGATCTGACACCATCTGTTTGACTCTCACAGGAAAAGGAAAATAAAGGATTTTGAAAGGAAAATTATGCTTCTGTGAGATATGCAGTTGAAACTTATAAGCAATGAGGATATATCCAAGTTAATTGAAAAGGACTTAAAAGCAGTGTTTGGAATGATGTGAAGAGGGGGAACATGTAGGTTAAATATGGTAGACAGTGGTAGGCCAGCAGCCAAGGGAATTGGAGTGGTGGTCACAGAAAGGCATAGGAAATGGAACACGAACTGACATCTTTTTTTAAAAAAAAAAAAAGAAGGAAAAACATTTATTTGGTTAAAATGCTTGACAGCATGTCTGGATTTTTAAAAAAAAAAGAGGGAGGTGGGAAAAATGGACTTGCTTTATTGGAAAATCAATTTTCTGGAACAAAATTTTGAAATGGAATAATTTCAAGCTGTTTGCTATTGCTAAGAAACTGGTGAGAAAAAGGATACCAGGGAAAGACCTATTTGGCCAGTACTCACTTTCACCAGAGTTAAGTACATCCTCAGCACCAAAGAGCAGTCAACTTATCATGTTCATACAGTGCTAAATCTCTATTAGTAGCTCATTGTATATGTTCTCCTCAGATAAAAGTATACAATTAATGATGGCCATGAATTAAATTTTCATTTTATTTTTAAGATGAACTGAATAAGTATTCCGAGATTATGCAATACTAGACTAATTCATGTCTAAATCATCTGATAGATAGCAGCACTCCTGAAATTAGGAATTAAAACTCAAATTTGAGTTTTACCAAAAGGATTCTTTAAAAATTCATACCTTAGTTATAGCATCTGTCCTCTGATGATTAAAATATATTTTCTTTGATTCAAATTAGAGCATCCTTCAACTTTACAACATCAACTGGCCACATCTGTAAACTATATGGGTTGAGGTTTTGCAAGCATATATCTCCAAGATGGGAAAGTTAGGGAAGTTAGTTTTATCTTAATTTGCAGAAGTGAGTTCTGAATTCCACCAAGAGTTGCTGCCCCAAAAATAATGGTATTTACATTGGATTTAGTTTACTGAGTCTTGGCCTCTACCAGCATCTACCTGAGGTCTATCTCACCAACCCCTGAGGTGAGAGAAAACATCAGCATTACAAGTGATTTCATCCTCAACATCAGGTGCTTCATTGCAAACCACAGAGAAAGAGGAAGAGAGACAGTACACATGTCTACATAACAACAGAGAAAGGCAGCAATTGTGCTGAGAGAGATATATACCTTAGTCCCTTTTTGGGTAGTGTATTTCTGTCAAGCTGCATGCTGTTAAAACAAAGAAAATCCCTAAGGACATAATGTAAACAAAACTTCCAAATTACACATCCAACAAAAACGGTTCTCTGTTTGAACTACACAAAATTAATTTTTTGTAACACATATTTAATGCTTAACTCATTGGAAAAGGCCAACTGAAGATGACCAGATTTCCATTGTTACACATTCAATGATGATTTAGCAACAGGATTACTAGAAAATAGATTGAATCCTATGGTACCACAATCCCCCTCTAGATTCTATTTCCCTAGTGCTATAGTAAATTTCCTTTGCCATTCAACTGGGCACTTACACAATAATTAGATGAGACTTCTGCTGTGATTTCATAGGCAGCAGAATCATAGAGGTGGAAATGAGATAGATCTGCTCTACTTAAGTTAATGTGACAATTTCCAATGGGCAGAGAAGATCTAAAACACTTTTAATACTTATTTTTTGTACTCAAATTATTTTTAATAAAAGTAAATGCAGATTTATTCCTCTTTCCATGAGAAAAAATATAATAAATATCTGCTAAAATGCAATGTTTCTGGCATCATTTATTTAAACAACTTAAACTAAACTAAGCCATCTTTTAGAAATTATAAATTAGGTATTTAAAAGGCCATGATGTTCATTAGTCCCTATTTTAAAGAATTCTCAACTGGTTGTAGAAAGAGGTGAAAGGATGTGTCTGGAGAAAATGAGAAATGGCCTCTCTAAAAATATAGGAAGAAGGTGTCAACAACTAAGTGGGACAAGTCTAAGGATTTCTATTATAATCTGGCATGTGGATAGCCAAAGGATACAAATTATTTGAATTTGCATAATGATAGTTTTTTTCCATTAGAATCTCAAATGATTAAAATTAAATACACAGTATATGTATAACGGTGATGATGTAACATGAATGCAAACACACTGACTTGAAATTTAATCACTCAGAATCAAAGCTAAAATGTTTTCTTTTGTTCGTACTCCACTCATTAGCACTGCAAATGAAAGCATGCAAAGGAATGACACAACCTTTTATTTATAGGGAATGTCCACTTAAGGTAATTACTGTATTATGCTGAGTCCAGTTCCAGTATATAACTTGACCATACATTTTTTAGTAATGTGGATAAACAAAGAAAAAGGAATCATATTGAACAAATATGTAAAAGCTCTAAATATGAGTTAGTTACATTGTGCTAAAGTATTAATATGGTCATAAGCCATTATAAAGATGGATCTCTTTCACCTGTGCAAACTTATTAACATTTAACACTGCAGAGGGAACTGAAAAGCACTGTTTTGGCAAAGCTATCAACTGTATAGAAAATTGTATGTTCATATGGTGCAGCTAATTTCATGTAAGAAAAATCAGAAAAAAATATACATCTATCTTTAACAATATAAATTTAAACTTTAAGTAGAAATCTCTCTTTGCATCTGAATATTAATGATAGTATCATGCAGTTTCTACAAGCCCTGAAAGGTCACAAACTCCTATGTCTTCAAGGGCCATCCAGGCAGTGGGAATAGTGAAGTGGGGATTTTAGCCAACATTCTGAGGACAGGTACTGTTTGCTTAAAGCCAGTAAGTGCTGTGCAGGATTGTAAAGGTAGGGTTGCCATGTCTGATATTTAACAACCAGCCAAAAATACATAAAGTGGGTTACTACTCTAAATTATTTTTAAAGTTTGGTTAGGTCACAAAAAACAAACAAACAAAACAAAACAAATGTGAACTGGTTATGGCCCAAGAGCCACCAATGATCTAGAACAGTTAAAGCGAAAACTGTTAAAGAACCTTTAAATTTATTTACTATTTTATGATATTTTAAGGAAGAGGACTTTAAGCCCAAATTAAAATTTTTATGAAAAACTATTGATTTAATAGTACTGGGATATGAATGTCAACAAAGTATTGTGAAATTATAGATAAACTAGTAAGTCATGAACTTACATAAATGAACTTACCTAGGTATCTATTGTATATCTCTAATTAATTTGTCTTAAATATTTAAACTTTAGCATATTTTCCCTCAGGTATGGCTCTTTGGTTGCCTTAGTGTTCCCAACTTTCTGCTGACTGTTTAATTATAATTAAGCCACAGTTTCTGATAACACCTAATTGTCTCTTTAATAGCTTATAAATTTTCTTGAACGTACTTTAAAGGATTAGAATCAACTGCTATTGCTTGCAATTTTGTTCCCAAGAAAGAAAAGTACAGCTTCATATATCAAAAATTATTTCAATCCAGTAATTTACTGGAGAAACTAATTAATATTCATATCATATACTATACCTATTAAGAAGATATCTTAATTTTCAGTTTAATATTCATCAATACATTTTATTAAGAATCAAGGCAAGCATTTCATTTACTCAAACTAGTTTTGAATCTCAAAAAATTACTCAAAATTCTTCATAAAAAATAAAATACTAACATTGCATTTATAATCCATCTATAAAACTCATCTGGTTTGATTTGAGGTTTACTTGGTTCCAAATATTTACTTGACCATTTCTCAAAGTTTTTAATGGCTGAAAATAAAAGAAATAGGTTGATGGCTAACTTGTTGCAGTCATTTGTTCATATGTGGACAAATAGTGTTTTGGAGGGTGACTTGGTTAATAAAATAACCTATTTGCAGTGTACTTAGTTTTGATATAAAATCACTGTTTCGATTTTTCATACATCAACACAAAAACAAGGATAATATTTATTAAAACTGTAGGTTAATATATTTTCAACATAATTTGATTGAGTTGTTGGAAGTTTTAAAAATGATGTACAAGGATGCCAATTTACCTTTAAAGTGTGGGAACTCTAAGATGCTGTTGGAAGCCTAACTTCTTAATTCAAAAATTCAATGAAACTACCTACAACAGTGCTTTTGTGTATGTAGCTGGTCTTCATGTAGGCTGTTTATAATGACACAACCAGAAGGGAAATATGCAAATGCCTATATTTTAGGTTCTATCACCCAGTTGTCTGTCTTGTGTCTCTTGGCCCAGTTTTTTGTTTAGGAAGAAAAATGCATTTTGTGATTAGCAGTCTGCCACAGGAATTATTGATCATCAATGTCTCAGTTCTAAAATTGTTTTCTCCGGGGGAGTCTCATCTGCATGGCTGTCCACGTACCTTGTTAGGGAAATGGAAGTAATGTGGGGTAGAAGTAATGTTTTGCTCTGGGTTTTGCATTTCACAAAGGCCAGAGAAACGGGAAAGCAGTAGGAAATCTTAGATGAAGGGACAACTGGTGCATTGGAATGAGAGTCTAGGCTGGGATTTTAGCCGGTGTTTTTTAAAAAATGCTTCTGGGAATAAGTGCACAGAAGAGGAGGTATGTCGGCATCAACAATAGACCGGGAAAAGTTTAGGGAAGGCACCAGGCGTTTTCAGTGACCAGTAGTACTTCGCAAGTAACACACTAAGATAGGTGGCCAAGGACATTTTTGACAGCTTTAGGTGTGCCAAGAAACAAACAGCATTAAATTCCGCAGGGAAAAGGGAGCAGTTTTAAGACATTTTTCTGGGGGAAAGAGTCAGTACCAATTTATCTGAGAAAGGATTTTTTGGGGGAGAGGATCTAGAGCCGTTTTGGCCAACAGTAATGATTTCTGTAAGTATATTAAGTAAGGAATGCCTGATGTTTTTCATTTTAACTTGAAAAATTAATCATTAAACCAATGGGAATCACCTTGTAAGGTGATTTATTTCAAAGTGCCCTATTAAAAGTATCACTGGTGTTAATGATTTTCTCTATGATTTCATATCTGACAATCGATTTTTCCCAATTCAACAAGGATTGCCCAGTGTTCCATTTGCTATTTTTTCCACAGAAGTATGAATAATGCAAATTTGTGCAAATTTAACATGTTGCTCAGAGCATAATTGTAGAATCCATTTAAATTCGGGCTTTAAAATGCTTAAATCATCATAAGGAGCAATGTTGTCCTGGGGCTCAAGCCAAATCATTAACATGCCTTGAGAAGACATCATTCAATATATAAATACATGCTTTGAGTTTTATTTAAATTGCCTATTGGGTGTATAGGTAAGTATTCATATTAAGAAATTCAATTACCCAATTACCCTATCCTTAATGTTTTTTTTACCCCCTTCTGCAAACTTGGTAAGAGCAAATAAAAGGCCCACTCGCGTCAAGGCTACATCCCTTCGGTCTGCGCTCCTCGGCCGGGGCGCGCCCACGGAGCCCAGGGACTTCGAGGGGCGACGGCGCCTGCGGAGGGGCGCGGACTCCGCCGGGGCCCTGGACGCTCACCTTTCCGAGAGTGTGGATCGCACACTGCCCGTTCTCACGAGCAGGCTCTGCACCTCGTGGGCGCCCGCGGCCAGGCCAGACAGGGAACCGTGGTGGCTGAGGGGGAGGTCCATGGACTCGGAGCTCGTGTGCAGGCTAGTCATGGACGGGTAGCTCGGCGTGTCCTTGCTGCCCGCGGAGGAGCTGCTCAGAGTGGCGGCCCATGGCGGGCCGCCCGACGCGGGGCTGGACGCCAGCGAGGCGCTGAGGCCGAGCACGTCTGCAGCTAGGTCTGCGGGCTTGCTGAAGAGAGGGCTGCTGCCGCCGCTCGGCCCGCCCGCACTGCCCGCGCTGCCCGTCCCCGACGACGGCGACTCCAGGCTGCCCTGCCGTGCCAAGGCGGCGCCGGGGCCAGGCACGACGGAGGGCGCTTTCGCTCCCTCGGCACCAGGTGCGGGGGTGGCTTTGCCACCTGCCTTGGCACCAAACAACCTAAGAGAAAAACAAACAACAGCTTCATTTGTTCCGGAACCGACATTCACAGGGGCCACTTAGGCTCCCAGCACCAAGCGCCCTGCGCCGGACGCTCTTGTCAGTCACCCTCCCGTCAGTCACCCAGGGGGCAGGCGCGGGACCCTCCTGTCAGTCACCCGCAGGGCAGGCGTGGGACCCCTCCTGTCAGTCACCCTCCCATCAGTCACCCACAGGGCAGGCAGGGACCCTCCTGTCAATCACCCGGACAACAGGCGTGAGACCCTCCTGTCAGTTACTCTCCCATCAGTCACCCAGGGGGCAGGCGCAGGACAGTCCTGTCAGTCATCTGGAGGGCAGGTGCGGGACCCCTCCTGTCAGTCACCCTCCCGTCAGTCACCCACAGGGCAGGCAGGGACCCTCCTGTCAGTCATCTGCAGGGCAGACGCCAGACCCTCCTGTCAGTTACCCTCCCATCAGTCACCCAGGGGGCAGGCAGGGACCCTCCTGTCAGTCATCTGCAGGGCAGGCGTGGGACCCTCCTGTCAGTTACCCTCCCATCAGTCACCAAGGGGGCAGGCGCAGGACAGTCCTGTCAGTCACCTGGAGGGCAGGCGCAGGACCCCTCCTGTCAGTCACCCTCCCGTCAGTCACCCAGGAGGCAGGCAGGGACCCTCCTGTCAGTCACCCTGAGGGCAGGCATGGGACCCCCCTGTCACCGGCAGGACAAGTGCAGGATCCTTCCGTCAGTCACCCACAGGGCAGGCGCGGAACCCTTCTGTCTGTCACCCTGAGGGCAGGCGCGGGACCCTCCTGTCACCTGCAGGGCAGGTGCAGAACCCTCCTGTCAGTCACCCGGACGACAGGCATGAGACCCTCTTGTCAGTAACCTGGAGGACAGGCACGGGACCCCTTCTGTCAAGTCATCCTCCTGTCAGTCACCCACAGGACAGGCGCAGGACCCCTCTTGTCAGTAACCCAAAAGGCAGGCACAGGACCCCTCCTGTCACCTGAAGGGCTGCAATCGCATGGCTGTCCAGGTGGAGGCCGAATGTGGGCAAAACTAGCCAAAAATCAAAGTCCCTGGCTTTTGCAATTTCAACGGTCATGAGAGTCTTCTGCAAAAATTAAATTGTTTGGCCACACTTGCTTTACTTATTTAAAGAGCCACTAAAATGAAACAACGTCTATGCACTTGGTATATAACAATAACAATTTTTTTTTTCATTTTAATGGTTTATTCAAATTCTAAAAGGAAGGTTTAAGGCAGGATCTGGGAAGGTGTGGTGCCTGTCTGGTGGCCTGAATGATGGTCAGAGTTGTCAGTTGGAAACAATACCGGACACTTTTGGCAACATGTTGACTTCTTTTTATTTTCCAAAGAAAGACCAGAAGGTTTTATGTCGGTTGCCAGTGCTTTTCAAATATATATTTATAATAGTGACTTGAAGCATACTTGGTGCTAAGGTACATGTTGGAGTTTAGTTCAGAAAACATTTTAGTTTTGTAAATGAAGCAGATGATATAATCAAATTTATGTAAATATGGAAATAAAGTGATATGAAGTAATGGCATAATGATTACTAATTAAGTTGGAATGAAATCTGTATTTCCTAGAGTGAAATATCTTATGACCAATATGAGAAATTCTTTCATAGGTAATGGGCCACTGGAGGGCACTGCTGGCTTTTACTTCAGTACAGAAATATTTACTCTCACTGTAAAACCACTACTCTTGCCTGAAAATCAACATAACAAAAAGATGGTTCTTCAGGGTTAACATTTCTGCTGAGGAGTATGACTGCTAGGTTTTTCCAATGATCATGTCTCTGAGATTGCTTGAAATGTAAAAGTAAATGTTTTCAGAACCTTTATTTCCTAGATATAAAGGTTCTTGCTTTAGTTACTATAATAATAACAAACATTGAAAATCCTTAACATGTAATGGACTATAAATTATACTCTAACATTTCACATTGGTGAGGAAATACCCATAGAGATTTAACTATTTGTCCCAAGTCTTTACCTGGATGTATTTTCCTACCACTTAAAACGCACTGGTATTTAAAACAGTGATACCTCACAGCAGAACTCCACATATTCAACACCAAAGACAGTCCCAGTGAGGAAACCAAGTCATGCTGCTTCTCAGAGTTTTACAGAAGAAAGCTGATGAAGAGTTAGAAAGCCTAGCCCATTTCTTAGTTGTTACCTTATACCAAACATCCGAATATTTTCTAATCTATCAGTCACATCATGCCTTGATATTTATCAACATGTCAAGATATGATACTGTGTAAATGTGTCCAACATGAGCTGGAAACACAACTCCATCTACATTCATCATCACCAACTCATTAAGAGCCAGCAAGATAATAAACACTGGTAATGAATACCCATAGTCGTAAAGACCTATTTTGCTTTGTTTTATTTTTAATTGTGTAAAGGAGAGATGGAAATCTATGGAAACTTCACAAGCTATTTCTTTATCACTGCCCGTAGATATTGCCATCTGCTGTTAAGTCTCTTATAAATGCTATTTGTGTTGCTAATATTACAAATGATAGTAAAACTGCCAAGTTTGAGCATTTCTCAAAATGATCACTTTTTTTGCTAGCTATTTATAATAATAGGCTTCTTAAAACCAACTGTACTCAGAAACTGAATAAAACTTTCTACAGTATATTTACCTTAAGAATATATACATATAGGGGGGCAGAGCCAACATGGCAGTGTGAGTAGGACAGTGGGAATCTCCTCCCAAAAACATATATATTTTTGAAAATACAACAAATACAACTAATCCTAAAAGAGAGAGCAGAAGGCACAGGACAACAGCCAGACTACATCCACACGTGCGAGAGCCCAGCACCTGGTGAAAGGGGTAAGATACAACCCCTGGCCCGGCGGGATCTGAGCACACCTCCCCCCAGCTCCCGGTGGGAGGAGAGGTATCAGAGTGCAGGGTGGGAGAGGGAGCCCAGGACTGTAAACACCCAGCCCCAACCACTCACACCACAGCACAGACGCAGTGCATGCATGGAGGGCTGGAAACTAGGGAAACAGGGTAACAAGACCTCTGAGCGGGTTCTGAAGCTGATGCCCCTGTGACAAAGCAAAGTGAGTGCTTTTTGAAAGTCTTAAAGGGACAGGGATGTAACAGCTGGACGGAAACAACATAGGTCACAGCCCAGTTGCTGGAAATTACAGGGAAAACTGGGTGCACTAACCCCCTGGGCAACAGCTCTGAGACCCCTCACAGAGGTAAACAGCCAAACAGCCCCCCTGTCCATTATCCCTCCCGGGCGCTTCCTCCATACCCACCGGGCAAGACACAAACACCCAGTCTACATGCAATTACCCAACACAGGACACTAGGGGTGTTGCAGTTGTCCCAGTAAAGAAAGGCCAGTAGAAAGTGAAAAGTTTGGCCTTCCCAGCTGACAGTCAATAGCACCTATCTACATGAAAAGGCAAAAAAATATGATCCAGACAAGACTAACCCAGACAGCTTCAGCATCTGCTATACCTTCCCCTGGGAAGGAACCTGGGGAAATAGACTTATCCAGTCTTCCTGAAAAAGAATTCAAAACAAAAGTCATAACCATGCTGATGGACTTGCAGAGAAATATGCAAGAACTAAGGAAGGAGAATACAGAAATAAAACAAGCTCTGGAAGGACTTCAAAACAGAATGGATGAGATGCAAGAGACCATTAATGGACTAGAAAACAGGG